ACTGCTCCCGCGGATGGTCAGACTCCTGGAGACATGTCTTGTCGCTGGGGAATATCGCACAGAACCCAAAAGCTTGTTTCAAAACCAGGTGCAAGAAACATCGTGGATGTTTGGGATGATTTAGCTACATATAAATTTCTTCTCCTTCACTCCCCACCACTCTTGGCATTTACTATAGACTGCTTAAATAAATCCTTTTCAATTTAGATATCCCTTCCAGAACCGCTAAGAATTATTTTCATTTTTTGATTTAGTCTCAATTTCATTTGAGCAAGCTGTATATATTTTTGACCTACGCCTTTCTGGACAGAAGGCTCTTCCTATATGTTTTGATGCATATCTTTGTTTCTAACCTGAAACACTTTGCTGTTGTGGTTTACATTTTATATTCCTCAGTAGTCTGCGAATTATTTTTGCACAGGGTTATCTAATGCTAGTGCTCGCTTAATTACAGTTTACATTTTGCATTCATATTTTCTGTTGCAGGAGAATTCAAAATGCTTGACAATTTGTAAGCCACAAAAGCTGTTGTTGCTTGTGGGGAATAGCTATGGTCTGTGACTTTTTAAATGAGCATTATATGTTTGTTGTTTTGCATTCAGAATTAAGCTGATTGCATTGCACTGATGGCATACTGTATGTAGGTTTAAACTTCCTGAGTCTGAATAACTGCAAGTGCAACATCTCAAATATTAGTATGTATTTCATTTTAAAATGACAGGACAAGTTTGATTTTATGGCACTTTGTATAGGAAATCATGTGAAATCAGGATAAAAGTTATAATTTATCAGATATCCTGGGGCAGGTACTTAGTTTGTACAAATTGTTCTCTCTCCACTGCTAGCTGTCTTCATAAGAAGGAAGCGGTTGGTATTTAAAATCTTGATTTGATGGAAAAAGCATTAACAAAGTGTTTGAAAGGCAGGCAAATGCATGTTTATAAGTAATTTTCATGTTTTTAACTATGTGGATGATTAAAGAGGAGTAGTTTCAGTTCTTGAAAGCCTGTATCTGCAGTATATGTAGGTGGAGAATATTTACCTCATAATATAGCTCAAAGTTACACCTCTGCACGTTCAGCCGTTCTGCACCGTTTTGCTTTAGCTGTGGGTGGAACAGTTCAGAAAAGGAAGAAGTGGATTCCCATCTTCAAATTAAAAATAGAAAGACTTTGTGCTTAATGTAGAATAGCTGAATGAAATGCCGTGTGTTACGGAGAAGAACAGAAAAGGTGGGAGTCCTTTGGTTATTGAAACTTAGGAGTACACCAAATAAAGTGGCCCCACTGTGTTTTAATTCACTGTGCAAATTGTCCCTTTGACATACTCTTCTCATGAAATGCTTAGAAATCTTTTGCAAATTAAGCTAATATACAGTGTATAGTAGTTTTGTGTCTTTTCCTGTTATAGTCACCATTTACAGCTATTGTTTAAAAGACTTCTGACACAACATAAACACTGTTGAAAATTAAGCACAGTTGAGAGTAACTGGTTAAGATGTGCTTCTTGGTTCAGAGGACTGCAATGTGAGATTTGCTGGCATGCATGAATGATTCAGGTGCCCTGAGGTGTCTGAGGATTGATGTGGTATTCAAATAACTGCAGTAACCTTCAAATCATGGAGGTTAACACTGCATTTACTTATGGTTTCCATTTTTTGACACTTAGTTGCTGAGTGAAGGAACATAGGCAGTTTTGGTTTGATGTACTGGGAAATCCCTAAAATGCACAAATGAGCACTACATTGCTTGGGCGCCTTTGTGATGAACCTGGTAGTTCTTTTTCTATAAAACAAAATAGTTTAATGGAACAACATTTGCACCGCAGTAGATGAGCCCAAAATATTGTTGACAACAGACTGCTGTGCATATTAAACCCCAGTTATTTCCATTAGCTGTTACTGTAACTCTGTTCTATGAAAAAAATCTTCATGTGTTCAGGTTTTTTGTTTGCTCCCCTTCAAGTATTTTGACAGCAGCTAAAGTAAAAATGTATTAAATGACTGAAGTTGCAGAGATGCGAGTTTGAGCTATATTAGGAGATAAAAATTTTCCACTTACAAATTTTGCAGATGCAAGCTTTCAAGAGCGGGGAGTATTAATCTGCATTTACTTAAGTCTGTGCGAATCTGGAATAACTCCATTGAAATTGAAAGTTCAATAAAGAATAAATTTATAGCTGCTTTAACGCGTGGTGAATTCTCTATAGAAATCTTTGCCGTTAAGATCTTTGTTGTTGATTTTCCTTTCCATGTGTGCCAGCGGTTCTCATTCATACCCCTTCAAGGCATTTTAAAGTATCAGTAGCAGTTCTAACAGCTGACCCTTCAGAATGCCTTTTACCATGAGCAGATGCTTATGAAGAGTGGGGAAAGGGGGTTGCTTTTGCATTTATGGATCTTCTCTTTTACCTGACTAAAATACACATCACACTGATCACGGGATAAAAATCCCCTTTCCTCCAAAAAAAGTATTAGAGTGCCTTGAGCTTTGTATAGTATTTGATGCAAAGCCTCACTGTTTGTAAGCAGTTCTTACTTCTCTTACTGCTCTTCAGCTGATGACTGAATCCTGAGAATATTTAGATGTTAGGTTCACCTGGCTGATGATGAGAAAGAGCACCAAAATGTCTAAGACAGCTGTTGCCGTTTCTCCCCCTTTCCTTCTTTTGCATTATTAAAGGAGAGAAAAATGTAAAGAAAAAAGGCTAGTTTTGAGATTAATTTTGTGATTCCTTGATCTCAGAATACCTAATTGCATTATATTCCAGGACTAAGCGTAGTGCCAAAACATCATGATCATTTGTACTACAAAAGACACACTTTATTTTGGATTGCTGCTACTTTCATCTTCAACCTTGCTGAAAGACAGGTTTCCTCTATGTAACATCAATCCAAGGAGCTTGACAGGTGATGTCTGGTTTGATTTTATTGTCTCTAGGGACCTCTATATTATATATTTTTGACATATGAAAATGTGGTGCAGTTGTACAAATGCGTGACCCCTGTGAATTTTAAATTGTTTTTCTGGAAATCAGTTTGCAAAAGTTTGATCACACATTCTGGAGTTTATATAAACAACTTTTTTTTTAAAAAAAAAAAATCTCCTTTAATGTTAAGCTTACAAAAAGATGCTCAGACATATAATAACTGATACTGTGGGGTTTGGTGTTTTCTTTTTTTTTTTTTTTTAATCCAAGTACTCTAGTAAAAATAATGTTGTTTTAAGATCAGTGATTTTATTAAGGTTTAAAAACCATCAGAGACGCTTTTTACCTGTAAGTGAGGGATGAAACATGTGTGATACATTACCTGGAGTGGAAGGCTTCCCTGCTCTGCCCATGTATCGTCACTGGCGTGAGCAGTGGCATCAGCTCCTACGCAGGTGCCTGTGCTGGAGGTGGCTTTGGGCGCGTGGGGCACTGCTGCTCTGCGGCGAGTAGGCTGCGTTCTGGAAGCCCTGGCCTGAGAGGATGCCTCTTGGGAGAGCAATGAACTTACTGTGTGTTACCTGAAGAGCAAAAGGGTTGAAGTAAAAGAATACAAAGTGAAAATGCCCACTATGGAAAGGGAAGAGGTGGAATAAACCCACTTTTATCTCCGCGCACCATTTCTACAAGTACTAATTTGATTACAGCTCTGATTCTTCTCTGTTGCTATCAATACTTACATGGCTCAGCCTCTGTTATTACGATCAGACTGATTTAAAGGAGTTTACACAATTTTAGTGAGGTGTTTGGGTTTTTTTCCTGTCATACCCTTTCAGTAATACATTTGTGTTATTTTGGGATGTCTTTGTCTTAAAAAGTGAATGTCTTTTTACACAATACTGCTCTTGCTGCCTTTTGCTGTTGATATCCAAACTAAGAATTGCCTAGTATGTGAGTGAAAGACATATAACTGAGCAATCCTAACCACAACGGTGGGCTTTCCTGGTGTCTAATGATAATAAGAAATCAGTGGAACTACCCTGGAAAATTAATAAATAAATAGAGAGAAATTATATGTTTTTATGTCTGTGTGGAATTTTTATGCATCCTATGGGAGTCACGAAATGAGATCTGCTTCGTCTTCGCAAGGATTTACTCTCCAGCTTAAGTCCCTTGACACTGTCACTACTGATAGCCAAAAGAGAGAGGAAAAAAAAGGAGGAATAGAGATTAGAGTTTTGTTTGGAAATCCTGAAATCCCTACCAGATATATATTTTTATTTTGGGGACAGTATTTCAGTTTCCACTATAGCAGTGATACCTGACTGTCGATATTGTCGCTGTTAAACAATGGATTTAGAGCATGGTGGTCTGCTCTCTCAGGGCAAGCTGGACTTGTTCAGACACTGGCCTCTTCTGAGAAGTTCTCTCTAGAGCTGATGGGATGCAGGAGGGAGGACAGATTGTCCCATGGTTCTAGAGCATGAGGTTTGAAAAGGACAGAGCTTCTCAAGAGGTGTGGAAGAGGACAGAGAAAATAGGAAATTGCAAGCAGAAAAAATTAATTTAGTCCAATGAGTTTAAAATAAAATCATCATTTTAGGGTCAGTATTGTCAGGATACCGCATACCTATTTTGAAGTGGTAACACTGAGATATTCTGGAGGGCAGACATCTGGATCAGCTGATACGCACTGTAGTCTTTGTGATATTTTTATAAGACCTGGGGGTTTCTTTGCCCAGTTTTCATGTATCTGTAACTTGATGGGATAGCTAAGCAAGCTGATAGACCTCTAATGGAAAAGGAGATTTTTCTCCTATGTTGAACTTCAATTTTAGGTTCTGTGATTTCAAAGTAATTCTGTAAAATGCTTCTTAGGGGTGCCATTGATCAATGGAATTAAACCAGTTCAATAGTGTAGCCCCTGAAACTAGGAAAATAAAAATTGGAAATATACTAGAGAAAATAAATTAACAAATTGTTGTATAGTGCTGTTTATTTTGCTTTGAAGCAGACTGCTTGCTGTTCGAAGGTTAATATTGACTGTACTTGTATGTTTTGTTTTTTGGCAGGTAACCCTGGACTGGCAGGTTATTACAGGACCTTTATACAGGCCTTATATTGTGGACTAAATCAGCAGTATCCCGTGTGGGTTGTGAGCCATGCCGGACATTGTAAGCCTCCTAGTGGTATGGAAATGATAGAAGGTACAACACCATAACTTGTACATACAAATATTTGTACCCCCACCCTGACTTCACTAGCAGAACTTGTGCCTATTAAAAACAGCACGGTATGTTTTTTTTAAATGTCTCTGTTATAATTCCACAGAACAGTTGTATGAGAAGAAAAGTTACCGAGGAAAAGAGTATTTTTGAATTAGATTTGCCAGTCAAATAAATGCTATTAAGATAATAAGAGTTTGCTGATTGCAGTCTTTAGAGACAAGTTACAGAGAAGAAGGTCTAGAATGTGTTTATGTTGAGAAGACTAGGTTAGAAAAGTACATTTTTTAATGAAATGTCCAATTCAGAGATTGAGTACTTGAGGACAGACTTAATTATCTCCGAATTCAAAAATAGTAGTACTAAATTAGCGAATTTCCAGGAAGCAAGTAAATCTTTCTGAGACTGGGGTATGGGGCATTTGCAGGGTAGAGGTTGCTTGTTTGTCTCTTAAAAGTCTTTTGACATGCAAATTGCCAGCAAGACATGGTAGCCAACTCTAAGTGGATGTTGTTCATGTACAGCATTGTAAGATGGGAGGAACCAGTAGCAAATCCTGTCCTGAAAGCTGCTTAGTGTCAGAAGACTTCTAGACTTGGTCAAGCTGCAATGATGTAGCAGTAATCAGTATGATTCCTCAGGACCAAAAGGTTCAGCAATGTGAAGCAACCTGAAAATTTTGAAGAAGAAACTGTTTTAGCTGTTTAGCATAACTTTTCTTCACTAGCCCTTGTGCCCAAGCTTTTCAGCCTTTTTATCAGTTTATTTAATTTCAAGTCTGAAACTGAAACATGAAACCTGTATTTCTTTGGTAAAATTACTGCCAGTCATTGTGTACAAGTGTCAAACTACCAAATGCTAGCACTTTCTCCCGATAGGTGAGAAATCCCGAGGTTTATAATTTCTGGTACAATGTTAACCATGGGATACAGGTAGAAGTCGTCTGGCAACTGAATGGAGCTGAGTTTATTGCAGAGAACATTTGTAGGTCTCATAACCTGCCCTGGGATCATGTCTGTAAGTGTGTAGATAGCAAAAAGAGCCTTTGATGGCGAGAGATGTGTTTGGTGGCTTGAGATTGGTGAGCTAGTTGAAATGGAGAGGTTTTTAGATGGGGCCAGCAGAGATGTTGTACAACTGTCCCACTTCCACTGTGACAGCCCCTGGGCTGCTAAGGAGAGTGCAAGTCTGTGGGAAGGAGAGCATCCAGTAGGAAAAAGGGAGCTGATATCTAAGTTGAAACCAAACGTCCAGCTGACTTCATGGTGTTCTTCTGCACTGACAGTGCTCCTGTGGGAGAGGAGATTTTCAGGGATCTGGTAGCTTGTTGGGATGGAGAGATCAGAAGTAAAGTACCGTAAGGATGGGTGCTGTGTCAAGTTTTATTCAATATATTCACCCATGACCTGCAGAATGAGAGTAAACAGTGAAATTTCTTAGTTTGTGGATGGTACTTCATGGTATTTAATTACTGGGAAGATATTAGATGTCAGGGAACTGCAGAATGATCTTACAAAATGTAATTAGTAGGCAAAAAGATGGTAGACGAGTGTCAGTGTGCATAAGTATGAGTTAATGCATCTGACAAAAAAGATCTTTAACTGTGCCTGCGCGATCCTGAACTTGGAATTAATTTGTAAAACTCGGGAGAGATACTGGTGTCATCACTGACATTTCTCTAATATCATCTGTCATTGCACAGTGGCAGGCAAAATTTGTCAGCAAAATGTTGGACACAACCAGCGTTACAGACAAGGCAGGAGGCACTGTTTTATGACTGTATATAGCCATAGTGGACCTGCATCTTGAATATTAGAGAGCAGACCTGGTGGGCATCTCAAGGACATTTCAAGAGTGAAGTTGGTGAGTGTATGGAGAAAGGCAAATACAGCAACAGGGAGGGAGCAGCTTCCTTGTTATGAGAAATTAAAAGGCTCTCCGGTTTGGGGAGCAGAATGCTTCTCAGCAGTATGACTGAGGTTTCTGAAGTCATGACAGTAAGTAAAGTAAATACAGAATAAATTACACCAGATTCAGTAATGGAACTAATGGTCACTTAATGGTAGCAGCAGGTTTAAAACAGATAAAAGAAAGTATTTCTTTATGCGACAGGTAAAAAATGTAGGGAACAAGCAGCCCAAGCACTATACTGTGGGCAAATTATATATTAGCAGACTTAAAGTGATAAAACAACCTCATAGACAAGTGGTCCATAAACAGTTGCTGAAAGTGGCAGGTTCTTTACTGTGCAGGTGCACTGCTGCCCTTGCTTTGGACACTGAGGTCCTTGCTTTGGACACTGACCTCCCCGCTTGCCTGTGCTGCTCCTGTCCCACTGCCACTTTGTGGCAGGGCTGTGAGCCTGAGGGATTCACCGCAAGGCGAAGGGATGCAGAAAGGGGCTCTCACTGAATAGCCTCTACTCTTGCCGCTCTTGGGCTTGGGGGACTCACTTGTCTGACCCAGTAAGGTGTTTTGTATGTTCTCAATATCATCAACGTCAGGTTCTGTACTTACTGGTGCGCTTACTGTAGCACCATGGAGCTAAGAAAAGCATAGAAAGCCACTGATGGATAGTTTAAAAAATAACGAAAAGACATTTATGAGATTGTCTTCATATTTATTTTATTAGGAGCACAGGAGCAGAAAGCTTACATCCTGTCATTAGTATACATTTAGACAGTATTCCAGAATATTCTGTAGGGAGCCTTTTCCAAGCTAGTCTTCTAAGGAAACCCTGAAAATTTTAGTGACCTTTGTAAACAATGGTGTTACTGCAGTTGCCATGGGTGATACACTGTGCTTTGCAGTAGCTTTGAATGTGGTTCATTTGATATGAAAATGAAATTTTCATATGAAAGAAATATGGTTCATTTGATACAAGCTCAAGGGAAGGCACAAAGTGGCTAAAAGGCCTTGTATTTTGCCATTTTGTGACAATGTAGGTTGCTTGCAGTGGGTGGAGAGATTTGGGATAATTCTTCCTCATCCCTATAGCACAAAAGAAATGAAAAGCAACTTTTAGATATTAGAAGCTGATTCCCTTTCTTTTATTTATTTATTGCCAAAAATGTAATTTTCATTAATTGACTATAAAGATGTGATCAAGACCACTAAACAAAAAATTGAGCATCTTTGCAATTTCCCAGGTGACTGACTGAAAGGAACATTGCTCATGTTCTGCTCCTTTTCCTGTGTCTCACAGGAGTTCTTAATTGACATTTTGTGGCATTATAGCAAAAAAACCCAGAACCCCAAGGACCAACAGAAGCACATGCATAGGGACAGATAATTTTGTTCTCTGCAGCTCTTTGTTGCCTTCTGGTTCTGGATTTCTCAGGCAAAGTTCCTGTATCAAGGACCACTATATAAGACTGTGAACACCACGGCAGTTATTAATATGCTGCATAAAACCAGAAGAAGGGTATATTTTGGTGAAGAACTGGGCACAAAACTGTTATTGTAAAAATTCCATGTATTCCTTCATGCTTCTGATGGGCATTTCATAATGCTTCATTTGAAATAGCCTCATGCAAATCCTCTGCGGAAGTTCAGTGTTTCTTGATAAGAAGGATGAGGGCATAAATTGGCAAAGACAACATCTGAATCTCCGACACCATTGATTCTTGAGGTCTTTCAGATTGGAATCTAGTAAATAAAAAAATAAAAAAGGGGGGGAGGCATCTACTAGGAAAGAAGAATTCATACTAGTGTGTTTAGAACAGTGGTCTACAAACTTTTTGGATCATGCACTCCTATCGGTAAAAAATTACTATCAGTAAAAAATTTTTTAAGCATGCACGCCCGATATATCTTTTTTAAAAAAATAAATTATATACATATACTACTGCATTTCTAATATTTTCTTCCTGCACCCCAATGTGCACGCACCCCACTTTGGAGACCACTGAAGTAGAGTGTGGAAGCATTTAAACAGAACATTTAACATATAAATCATGCTGCCTGTAAAGTAACAAAAGGTTTAAAATGAAACAAACTCTGTTGGAATAATATGCCTGGTTATATTTAGATCCAGTAGATTTTGAAAGTCTCAGAAAGACTAAAGCAAGTTTTCCAGCAGCAGCCATCAGTCACAGACTACTTCCTAATTTTTTGGAAGCATGTCACATCATGATTTGAAAACTGAACGAAGCTACACCTTTCATGTTTACTTCTGTATTCCTCTATTCAGAAGATACATACTTCTATTCAAAGAGCTGTGCTCCACAGAGACATGCATTAATTGAACTTTTCATTGCTGTAATTCTGCTCCTAGCAATCAGTCTGCTGTGCAAAAGATTTGAAACTTATTTTTACTCAGTGAATGCAATAAAAAAGTTTTGCCTCAATTTCAACTTCATCCTTCTCCTTAGCTTTTAAAAAAGCAGTTGTTTTGAACACTGCTGTGACTGTAAAACAGGCCAACATCAATCCGTAGGTGCAGGCAAAATTATACTCTTAATCTTATATAATCTTAAAAGTGTTGCTTTTTTTCTTTTCAGTGCCTGATATTGAGACTTTGACTCGTAGTTTTCCTAATGATTAAGATGTTCATGCCTCTTGAACAGATGCTACCTAGGAACAGGTTCTTTTATAATACCATACCCCTTGCTTGGTTAGTTACTCCGATTGTTTACCATGCCAAATATATTATGATTGTATTGTCTTTTTAAGGTGCAGGTATTCGCACATCATTTGGTTAATTTCTACCTTATAAAGACATGTTCGTAAGAAAGGAAAAATGTATGCAAATAGAGCATAATTAAGATATGGCAAATTTTTCCTTGAAACTAAAAATAATAGGCAGGTATACCCACAGTTGGTTTATTTTTTTTAAGTTCTGGAGCTTCTTTTAATGTGTTGCTGCATTGAAGAACTTGCATTACACTTCTTTAGAGATTTCTGATCTGATAAGATTTCTCCTATGTCTAACCAAGTAACTTACTGGACGTTGTGAGGGTTTATTTAAAGTGCAAGTTATT